AATGTGTTAGTCAGCATGTGTAGTTTTTGTTCTTGGCACCATATTTTTGAAAAGGAACATCCTTCAGCATTGCCAAAAGCAACCTACTCATAACAGTCTCTTCACTGTCTAGGATCGTTTCCTTTTACAGACTAAAGCCAGCCACGTGTTCAATTCCCCAACTAGTCTGAATACGGCTGAGTCAGACTATTTTTCTGCTAAATCTCAACAATACAAGTCAGTGAGAGTACACAGTCATCGGCTAGCACTGTAAACTCATCACATCTGCCAATGACTTTACAATACTTGGTATTTAGGGTTATCTGCACTTAGCAAAGTCATCCATAGGGATTAGACAGTCAGTATGCGCCTCTCTGGTATCTGGCTTTCTCTACATTTTATGATCTGATGTGTCGTAAAACTCTGTGGAGGGGGGTCCTCTGTCGTGCCGTGTCTGAGGCTGCGATGGCTATCAGGGCTGTCTCTATACACAGGCCAGTTGTGCAGCTCAGTTTTATAATATTGTTACGCCTTCATCAGGCCCCTTACATGTCACATTCAACTGTAGCCAAACACTGTGGCTCCCCCTCCCATTCTTTTAAGCTCCTTTATTTTTCCATTGTTTTGATATATTTGCTATTTTGTGATTTGCTAAGCAACTATTCGGGGTTTTTGAGCTCTGTTCTTCATTTTGACTGACTTTCATTCCTTCTCTTCTTCTGAAACAACTCTTTTTTCCTGCTATCGTTAGTCTCTGTGTTCTCTTTCAATTGTGATGTCTCGTTAAAAATCCCCAAAATGTTTTTTTTTTTTCCGCTCTTACTCTTTATATGCTGTTTTTGTGACTAATCAGACCATATATGGTTGCTTTTCTACTTGTTTGTCTTGGTGAATCACTTGGCTTTGATTTTAATTATTGATTTGCTTTCTCTTCTATTAAAAAAAAAACTTCACTCTTGACCTTCAGCTGCTGAGATTCCTAAGCCAAGGCTAGCAAGTGTGGAATATTATCTTTTGTGCCTGGGTGTGTTTTTTTTGCTTGTGGCCAGTGTAATATTTTATGCTCAAGTATGCTGATGTATGACATTACCTTGGCAGGAGCTTTGTGAAGTTGTTTTGGGGTTTTTTGTAATGATAAATCCTAGTTGGAGCTGTCTTGTTATTAAAAAGGTCCTAAAGCAGCTCAGGTGTGGCTGTAATGAAATATCAGGAGTAAGGGTTGAGTGAGAGTTAACTGAACCACAAAGATGGTTCAGTCTTCAAAAATCAGGTTCGTCCTGGATTTTAGATAACTGTGTACCAAATTTCTTCTTCTTCTTCTTCTTTTTTTTTAGAAAGAGTATTTATACGAGTGCATTAAAGACGTCTTCTGATAGCAGGACCACAGTGGTGTACAATTTTTAATGTCTCTGCCTTTTCCTGTTTCTTTGCAGGGCAGAGGAGCCCATGCCTACCGTAGTCTTCCTCGTGATGCGAGTGGCTGGTCCACTCAGTTCCAAAGAGAGATGACTCGATCTTCCCTTAGTGCCAACCATCCAATGGTAGATCGATGGCTCGATCAACAAGAACAGGTTTGTTGGTGGACAATTAAGGAAATTGGAGACTCTATGGTTTATTTGTGGTTTGCAGATAAACAACTTTATTGCTTGACCAGTTCATAGCAGCTTGTATTTTTCACTACAGCCACCACTGGTTGGTCTAAAATAAAACAAAACACGTTGGTTCACTTGGTGATGTGTTGATACAAAAGTAACCTGGCTTGGTACAAGAGGATCTGCAGATTCAGATATTTGGTGTATGTGCTTAGCAATCAGTGGTGTTGAGCTAAAATGTCAATATCTCTACTTGAATATTGCTTAGAGGCAATGACTTGGAAGGGTTTTTGAACTTTGATTGGTCCTGGATAGTGGGCTCTCTTGCTGTAAATTGATCAATGGATACAAAATGCGTTGGTCTAGAAATTAAGCGGGCATACACTTGTTCTATATAGTACAAGCCTCTGGGTTTTTCAAAATGGAATTTATTAAGGTTCAGTTACACTCCAGTAAAAATAAGACCGGGACCTCCTTGCAACTCAGGAAAAAACAGTGTTTGCCCTGTGATTGCAATTAATTTTTTCATATAAATATACCTGTTGGGAGGCAACCGGTCTCCAAGGAGCCACGGTCCAGCTCAGTCTGACTGCAATCACCCTCATACAAATTGTCAAAGTGTCAGGGCTCTGTGTGCAGGCGGATGGAGAGGAAGATCCAAATGCGAGACTCGGACACTGAATACAACTCAAAACCTCAGTTTTATTGCTGGCATGAAGACAAAACATGAAATGAACACTGAATACTGAGAACAGAAACACACAGGCATAATCTGATGGTACGACACGACACTGAGCACAGGAAAACACAGGGCTAATATACACAGGGTAGTAATCAGGGAATGGGCAACAGGAGGGAGACACAGCTGGGAGAATTTGGACTAACGAGGCAGGGGAGCAGTAGAACTGAACACACTCACATGAGACACAGACCTTCACAATAAAACAGGAAACAAGAAACCACTAAACAAAGACGCAGACAGAGAAGCAGACAGAATATAACACATGCAACTCAAACAATACATAAAACAACAAACCCTTAAACACGGATAAACAGAAACATGGAACTCTAATAATAATAATCATCATAGCATCAGAGAAACAAAACAATCATTCAAAAATAAACCAAAACATAAGAACTCAAAATGCTGGGTCGAACCTGACCCAGAACCGTGACACAAAGACTTACAAATAAATGCCATCTTACGTATAGACCCAAACAGGCTGGCAATGTATTGTTATCAAACTCTGAGTGAGTCTGTGCTGATGACCACAACTTGTCTGCAACACATCCATTTGCAATAGAAGACTTGACTCAATCGGTTGCTAGCTATTTCTATTTAGAAGCAAGTGTGTGTCAGAAAAGAGTCTGAATTTCTGCTTAAATCTGTGAGTTTTGTGGAACTAGACTGCAATAT